TTTTTTCTTTCTGCTTTGCTTGTTGTTCCCTGCTCTGGGTTGAAGTTGAATTGCATGCTAATTGAACTACTGGGTTTGGGGCTTTAGTCGTCACCTTGCTTGTTTTGTTTCGTTCTGTTCCCTTCCTCTCCCCATTCGTGTTTTTTATTTACGTTTTTTCGGTGTACGTACGCGGGTGAAGTAGTGTATCTGCATCAGTATACACAGAAGAGTAGTGCATGCAGCAGTATACAAGTAATGATAGCACATGCAGCGAGAATATACGCGCGTTTGTTGGGCTGTATGTGTGTACACCTCAGAACCCGCTAGAGGTGGAGGAGTTTCTGCTGGAAAGCTTCCCTAGCCACAAGAACTTGCGGCTGTTTGCGGAGAACTTCGTCATGACGAATGACAAATACAATAAGAGGCCCCAGGACGAGAAAGGGGGCCCCCAGGGTGTGTTGGTCTGTCTTTTCCCCCTCTAAACCTCCTGCATATTTTTATTTAATTCAAAAAACATAAGCTAAGCAGCTTATGTTGCAGAACTTCACTGACTCATTACATAGAATTTGTTTTTTTGCATAGAGTAAAGGACAAGTGAAAGCAATGGAAGGATGAAACAAATATGCTTTTATGCATCTCTGCATGCATGCACGCATGCATGTATTCATACGCTGTTTGTTTTCCTTTTGTGGTGCAGCAGCAACAAACTGGGAGGCGATCCAGGGGAAAGGAAGATCCCGCAAAAAGAAACCGCAAGGGCGCCCTATAGACCCAGCTTTGCTTGGTAGGCTGAAGTTGTTTTTATATATGTTTTTTGTTTGGTTTTGTCTCCTTCTCTCCACTTGTGTGTGTAACAAGTTTCTCTCCGTTTCTGTATCTCCTCCTGCAGCTCTTTGTCTCCGCCACTTTTAAAGTTCTCTGCCTGTTTGTTTTTGCGTCGCTTTTTCGCGCCTGTCTTTTTGTTGGTTGTTTCGCTTGGTTTTCTGCTTCCTCTTTTGGTTGTTGTGCATTTCTCTGCATCTGAATCATCATCGTTACCCTGTTTTCTTGCTGGTGTGATGCTGTGGCTGTTGCTTTGTCCTTCTGTCTGACCTCCTCCTGTGTTGCGGTGTATATAGTATCGGTATTCGCTTGCTTTCACTTCTTTGATTCGCAGTGTTGTATATTGTATGTAGACTAGTTTGCCTCTGCTTAGCCAAGTTGCAATGTTATATATATATATATATATATATATATATATATAT